TGGCAGTGCACTCTCGACCCTATATACATGCAATTTGTTGTTTAATAAGTTTTTTATTTCTATATTTTATGAAGAAAGAATTTGGAAAGGAGTGATCTTTGTTTAGGATTTCTTCAGATCACACAGCATTACTTGATCAATAGTAGAAATATGTTTGTTCCTTTATCTCCTGAAGACAGTGACCAATGCTGGTGCATGGTGAGCCACAGTAGCCCTCCATTACATTGTCCAAGTTACCATTCTTCATGCATGAGTCAGGACAATCAATATTAACACAGGCAGAACAATCAACATTAACAGACTCTTGAACCCGCTAAGACCCTCATAAGGCTTCTGGTCTTTGTCTTATGACCTATGTCTTAACAATTTAACTTTGTACATTCTGGAAAATTCTTGAATTCAGTCCTAATTTGGAAGAGATTTTGTTCACCGTTGAAACTAACTGCTGTAGAAAAATGACTTCCTAATTAAAATTTCCCAAATTCTGCAAAATCTTATGTTTCAAAACAGTAACATCCAGTCTGCTGCTGAGGTGGTTCTGGACAGCCATCAGAAATGAAAACTACCTTTCTTAGCCCATGACACAAATCTATAATGACCTTACTGTTGCTCTGGCTGTCTGAGAATAACTCAGACCATGTGAACGACCATTAGGAAAGGGAAACGTAAGTAGGTTCTCCTTGAAATTGGTCCCAAGTTGGCATACTTGGCAAGGGGATGTCAGAATTAAGTCAACCCTCAGGGTGGTTTCGTTAAACCTGAATCAGGCAGGTCCGCAGTATTCCAGGGCACTGCTGATGATAGATCAACCAGACTGACTCATCGGTTAAACTTGGAGGGGCGGACAAGTCATCTACTGGGGCTAGACACTCATCTCCTGTTAATCCTGCAAGTCAAATCACGAATAGGTAGAGTAGTCCTTGCTGGAAAAACAGCAAAAACCTTGTCATATAGTGCTGTCAATGGCTATACGTTTTTTGCTGGTTAAACTCAAGCATTGGTTAAACTCAACCAATAAGAAATTGGTCATTTTCAATCTACGTCTGTTTGTGGGACATTGCTGTGCGCAATTGGCTGCCGCGTTCGCCCACAAATATACAGTCAATTCACTTTACAGTGTGTTCTGTGAAGCGCTTTGGGACGTCCTCCCGACGTGAAAAGCGCTATATCAAATGCAAGGATTATTATTATTATTATTATCGGAGTCCTGTAGCTCAGTGGTTAGAGCACTCGCTTTGCAAGCGAGAGACCTGAGTTCAATTCCAGGCAGGGCGAAACCTTGGGCAAGTTTCCTTACTCCACCCGCCTAATAATAATCCCTCCAAAACCAAAAACAATAAGAAATTGGTCATTTTCAATCTACGTCTGTTTGTGGGACATTGCTGTGCGCAATTGGCTGCCGCGTTCGCCCACAAATATACAGTCAATTCACTTTACAGTGTGTTCTGTGAAGCGCTTTGGGACGTCCTCCCGACGTGAAAAGCGCTATATCAAATGCAAGGATTATTATTATTATTATTATCTCAATGCACACTCTTGTGTCTCCTCTTGCCAATCTATGCTAAATACTCTCTGGAGTTAGATAAGCAGGATGTGTCCCTCCTGGGAGAGAGTGTGCATTTCATTCCAAACTTAGGAATTTCCAAGTGTAGATGGGATGCATGAAACTCTCAGTTTGATTTGGATACTCTTTAACATGGTGATGAGTTTCTGCATATGTAAAACACCCAGCTGACCAAAATTAACACAAGTGATTAGATCTGAGATTTTTAATCTGTATGATTCATTACAATACTGGAAGGTGAATTTACCCACTGGAGGAGGCAGAAGCCAAAAGTCTCTTAAACATATGCATGTTTAACTAATTTCCACCCATGGAATTCCCTAATTGATTTGTACCTGGTGATGTTGTAAGCAAGTAACGTATCCTTTAGTTGGAGAATATGCGTCAGCCTTGCTCAATTGGTAAGAGTGTTACCAAACTGGTGGATTTTTCAGATGCAATGCTGGGATTTTGAGTTCACAGTTTAGATTGACATTCCAGTCCATTGCTGAGAAAGCACTACATTTGTTCAAGGTGTCATCCTTCGAATGAGATATTAAAGCAAATTCCCATCAGGTGGATGTTAAAGATCTTGTGGCACTATTTGAAAAGAGAAGGGAATTATTCTTGGTGTTCTGGCCAACAATCCATCAAATAAAATTGGTCATTTGCTTCATGGCTGTTTGAGGGACATTGATGTGTGCAAATTGGCTGCCACATTTGTCTACAAAAATACAGTTGCTGCACATCAGTGTAAATCCTGTGAAGTGCTTTGAGGCATCACCAATGTGAGAAAGTGATAATATCAATTGCAAGGAGTATTATTATATAATTTCAGTGGATTACTGAATTCTATAAATCAGTAAAATTGTATAATTTTCCAAACCAATTCAAGTAACCAAATCAGGCAACTTGCAGAAACGAAACTAAACCGGTTATGGGTTGACTCACCTGCTTGAATTTGGAGACTGATTATTTTGTGACAACCCCAATGTCATATGTTTAATTTGGTTGGAAGCAATTTTATGGGCAAGGCTTCCCTATGTTTAGAAAATAAACTATTAGGATCATGTTAAATGTCACTATTCATGTTGAGCTCAGTAGTTTTCATAGAAGTAGATTTGAGCGGTTTAGTTTTGGTTAGGTTGTACTAACCATGAATGCTTTGGTTAGTTTAATACTAGGCATATACTTTGAGTGTTTTGATCAGGTTTATACTCTCCATTGTACATTGATTGTTTTGGTTAGGTTATACCGCCACGCGTATTGAGTTGCTTTGGTTTCAGTTACATTATAGGCTGGGACGCAATGAATGCACTGTGGTTGATCACTGATCCTGTTAATAAATAATGGTTCATTGACACTAAATGCATTGCATAGAAATAGCATCTATTAGTAGAGAAGAAATCATGTGGGAAATTATTTAATTTTGCTACTTATACCAAAAAGCAATGCATTGCTGATAGACCAGCCATCCTACCTCAATGGCAGGACTTAGAAAGGGAGGTTGGTCACTGGGACAAGGGTTTCGTCTCACTGAGCTCTTGTTAACCCTGCATGGGTAAGATGGTTCTAGTTGAATAAATGCCAGAAAGCTTGCCAGACAGGACCCTCAATAGCAAGGTTTGCAGTTTTAACTGGTTGAACTCCAGCAGGACCTCAACACACCCTGGAGTCCCCAAGCATTGGCTCTTGTCAACCTGAGCCTAATTACCTCAGGAATTAGGTAAGTAGGATGCTTCCCTTCAGGGTGAAAGTGTGCATTCCATTGCAGATACAGTAGAATTTCCAATTGCAGGTGTTATACTTATGTGAAACTCTCAGTCTGATGTGGATACTCTTAAGAACGGTAATGGTTTTGGCATGTTTCAGACAACAAGCTGACCAAAAAGAAAAACGGTTGTAGTCTTTTAGGTCAATTTCTTTTGATTTTTATATTCAGAAACATAATTTTGGATTCTTCCTCCAGCCAAGTATATCTAAAGTGATCCATGTGCAGTTCTATTCCGAGACAACTGATGGCAAGAAGATTATTCTTGTTTGTGTTGGAAGGCTAAAATTCAAATCTCAGCCAAATGTTACAGCATGCAGTTCATGATGAAAGATGGCAGCACGATATTGCAAATGAAAGCATTTTGGCTGACAAAAAACACTCTCAAATAGGGTGCTACCCAGAATGTCATTGACATTGATGTCAGATACTTTTATTTTGAGTTTTAAGTATTTTTAATTCTTAGTAGTTACCTTTTACATGATTTCAATCATTATAGTCTGGCTAACCAAACCAACATTCAGATCAGCCAAGTAATATATTGTAATCAGTTTGCTAAACCATGTCTAATATGCATATGTTTGAGATCATTGCAAAACTTTATGAAAACTTTGTGATTTCCTTTGTTCTAACATATTTGATGATGATTAGATGAATATATGTGATCAGCAACATCACCAGCAGCATTAGTGATTTAAATTAACTGATACAGTGTTGCACTGGATTTGTGACCAGAGAGTGAAATCTGTAGCATTTCATAAAGTGCTCCTTATTATGATGGGGAATATCTTATGAAACGCTGGTTTCAACTTTCAAAGTCTCAACTTTGTGATAAGGTGCTATATCAAATGCAAGTATTATTGTTATTATACTGTACTTATAATGTGCAGAAGGAGAGGCATCGAGCTACTTGGTTTCAGTCAGGTGTGTGTTGGTTTGCCCAGTGTGTGGCAGTATAAGCGATTCCACATCAGTTATGCTTTCTTACCTGAGTGTTATCTAGTAATCAGTAGGCCAAAATTCACAAGGTCTTAGCCTTAGGTCCATTGACGTAAAATCTAAGACAGTGTGAAATTTTGAAAAGCAGTCTTAATTTGAGATTTAGTTGAAAACCAATTTTCCACACAAAAAGAATTGCAGAAAATCAGATTCCAAATTAAATCTGAATTGAAGACTGTTTTCAAAAACTCTACACAATCTTAAATTTTATAGCCAAGGTCTCATGCATAAGAGTAGGAGATTTAAAAAAAATAATATTAATAATAATCCTTGAATTTGGTATCGCGCCTTTCATGTCAGGAGGATGTCTCAAAGTGCTTCACAGAATTTATTGTGAAGTGAATGGAGTGACTTGTGTATTTGCAGATGAACACAACAGCCCAATGCGTACAGCAATGTCCCACAAACAGTCATGGAGTGAATGACCAATTTTATTTGGGGGATTCTTGGCCAGGACACTGGGGGAAGACTCCCTTCTATTTTTAAGTAGTGCCATGGGATCTTTAACATCCCCCTGAACGGGCGGACAGAACTTCGGTTTAGCACTTTATCTGAAGGATGGCACCTTCAATAATGTAGCACACACTTAGAACTGCATTGGAGTGGCATCTTATATTATGTGAGTTCAAGTCCCGATGTGGGGGACTCAAAAGGTTTTGCGCCCAGTAAGAGGCACATCAGCAGGTGATGGATTCTGAGATATTTTACCAGCTCCTCAAGCGACACGATACTTGTCTACTACCAGATCTAGTGGATGACTCAATGGTAGCAACAGCATCAGGGCAATAAGGGATGGGCACATCTGTAACAAAATTTTCACACCACGTTTACAATTGTTACAGAATGAATGGAAAGGGAGATTCTGTGGGTACAGAGACAGTGGAAAAATGGACAAATGAAGATGTTATTAAAGCAATAGTAAACCATCTGTCTCCATTTCATATGACACTAAAACCTTAATTTATTACTTCTGAACAAAAGCACCAAATCTAAAGCCAAGTAACCACTTTAAATGGCATGCTTCACAAAAGGGTTTTGCTTCACTTTCAAGAGCATCAGCGGCCATTCAACCCTGAGGGCTTCACTGTCGACCCTGACAGTGAGCTCACCCAACATTCCAAACACACAATTTGCCAGGGATCAAGATCAGAATCATAGCAAATCTTTCTCGTCACAAGTCAATGTGTACTGAGGCGAAATTTTGCTCTTCTCTACTGCCACTCTTGCTGAGATCAACTAATTCAGTGCAGAGCAGAGAAAAACTTGGGACTTTTGGGGTCTGTGTGGCTCAGCTTCACAATAGGCAGTGACCATACCAATAGATTCATCAAAGGATCTATCATTTGGCTTTCAAGCATACTGAAGGTGACACATGACAGTAAGATAAAAAGACAGTAAAGGTACATTTATTTTCAAAGTGGAAAGTTTCAATGTTTGATTGTGAGTGAAGTTGGATGTCTAAGTATGAAGCAAAAGCATGTATTATGCTGAAGCTTCTCTGAAATGTGGATGTTTACCAGAGACTTTACATGAAGATTGGTTTTGGTCTGAATGGTTACCTCCTACTGGCTGTCATGTTACTCATCTTTTTCATTCCTTCATTTTGTTTCTTAGGTTATTTGATGTTTGCATCGTGTCTCGAACAGACCGAGAGACAAAACTGACCCTTGTTTTTGAACATGTCGATCAAGATTTGACTACCTATCTGGAAAAAGCCCCAGAGCCAGGAGTACCTCCAGAAACAATTAAGGTACAACCAAAGCAGCTTTTAATGAAGTAATGTTTCATTTATGACACATTCATATTCATTCACAGAATCGTAGAAATGTCAGCATAGAAGAGGGCCATTTGGCCCATCAAGCTTTTGCTACTGAAATAGTAGTACTGAAATACTCATAGTTTTTTATATATATATATATATATATGACAGTGAGATAAAAAGATTGGAGTAAAACAAGTTATACATTTTCATCCCAAATCTCTGCTCGTTCCCTGTACCGATTTATACTGTTTAAAAGAGCCTGAGAATAGAAACATTTTAGAATAAAGGCAGACGTCTCCTTCCTCCATATTCTGGGAATGATTTTGATAATTGTACTATATTGTATGAACATAGGATTACTTGAAAGTTCTTCCACATTAATCATATCATTATAAGCTTTAAGTACATGGATATTTAAATATAGATTTTTCATCTGAGGCATTTTCTGTTCAGTCACTTGGCAGATCGTAAAATTATGATTTTAACTTACTAAAATCGCGTAATCCATTCGTCATGTACTATAACATTGAAAGTATTGATTTGAAAATTAGTACCACCAAGATCTTGTGTCTCTTGGTAACCACTGCACAAATGTTTTGATAGAACTGAATTTAACTGGGGTTAAATTACTTGATTTAATACTGTCAACAGTGTAAGATTACAATATGTCTTTACCATTGCAGTAAAACCTATAGAAAAATTCCCTTTTTAAAATGTTCAGCAAAATAAATTGTACAAAATAGTGATAATGACATGTTGTACTCTTTTTGCGTAGTCAGGAAATAGGAGCTTATTTGTTCACTTACCCTCATGCATATCATTGATCTTCTAACTTACAAGGGCCTCTTCAAACTGAGATGTGAGTACTGTAGTAACATATTGTAATGGTGTCAACTGAAAATAAACAGTACCACTTTCACCATTTTCTATATTTCACCAAAATAAAAAGATTTGATGATTCACAATTCCATAAAATTGGTTTGAAAAAAAAGACCATGGTTGGGTTTCCATCACTTCCTCTTCTACAATCTGATGGCAATGGAGCCACTCCAGGTGCAAGCCTTTTCTATATTAATGTACTAATACAAGTGAGGCACATTAAGCAATGTGCTTGCTCTCACTGGCACAGTTGAAATGATCCTGGGTCACCAGCACTGTACACCAAGGTGTACGATGTGTGACGCCTTCTTCATTCACTAACATAAGTTAAGTTTTCCATTAATTGATATGTCATTGAGGATCTTCTGGGTGTAGAATTGGCTCATTAGTTCAAGATTTTTTTCTTCTGTGTGATAAGACTCTCCACATACTATTGATTCAATCTTCCTAGAAAACAAAGTATATGATGAGGAGTCCTGTAGCTGTGGAGTCCTGTAGCTCAGTGGTTAGAGCACTCGCTTTGCAAGTGGGTGACCTGAGTTCAATTCCAGGCAGGGCGAAACCTTGGGCAAGTTTTCTTACTCCACACGCTAATAATAATCCCTCCAAAAGCCAAAAACAATAATAAATTGTTCATTTTCAATCTACGACTGGGACATTGCTGTGCGCAATTGGCTGCCGCGTTCGCCCACAAATATACAGTCAATTCACTTTACAGTGTGTTCGGTGAAGCGCTTTGAGACGTCCTCCCGACGTGAAAAGCGCTATATCAAATGCAAGGATTATTATTATTATTATCATACAGTTCTGAATCCAGACTTTGTCTTTGTAAGAAAGTTCAATGCAACATTCAGGGTTAACTTGTGATGATTGCTAAAAATAAAAAAATTACAGCACTTTTGAACAATTATTATGGTTATGTCCAGCAGTATTATTTGTAACCTGGTTTCACAATAATAAATCTAAATGCAAGTTATTATTGTTTGTTGTTCACTGGAACTTTACTGAGCGGTGGATTTTAAGAGTTATTCTGATGTCTAACAACCCAGTTGTAATACACTTTTGGAAGTGCAACATCTCCAAAATGTATTCAAAATCCAATTCTGAGAGTCAGATAATGAGTCAAATCATAGACACCAGAATAATTCCTAAAATCTGTAAATGAAACCAGCATACTAGTTTGATTTTGCTGTAGTTTTGTCAGACTTTGTCTCAAGTTTAACCACAAGCTAGTTTGGATTTTAGATTGCACATCTTGGATTGCACCTTTTTTTCTTTCATTGGAAAACCTAAATGAAGGGCCAAGGTCCACACCGAGGTTGAAAAGTGTGGAAAGTAAATAAACAAGTTATCGCAGAAAGAAGTTGTGAGGAGATTCCAAGCTTGTTTTTTAAAAACTGATAACCTCTTCATATCATGTACACTGATTCATCATGTATCTAGTACCAAATCACCAAATAAAACAAAATATATTGGATGTGAGATGTCAATTAGTATTGGAGCTCACTGCTATGAATGCCACAAGAAGATGATTTCACCAGAACATTGATTTGTACTGGTGCAGTGTAAATCCAAATGATGCAAATTGATTTGGCTCCTACTCTCGTCTCTAGTCTCGCCTCATAAATAAAGTCTCAGAACAATGTAATGCAAATTTACATTGATATAGCGCTTTTCACGTCGGGAGGATGTTCAAGGACTCTGGACAGTCTATGCAGTCTAAGGCTTGTACCCTTAGCTGGAGGGTAGGGGCTGTGGAGGGAGGGGCGGAGATGGTTGAAAGTATGGTCAAAGCGGAAGGTCTTGAGGTGGTCCTTGAAGGAGGCGAGAAAAGGGTTGAGTCGAAGGGACTCCGTGATGGAGTTCCAAAGGATGGGGGCAGAAAGCCTGAAAGCTCGACCACTGATGGTAGGGCAGGTAGGGTAGGGGACGTGCATGATTAAAGCATGTGGCTTTCAAATGGGGTTACAATCCTCTCTGCACTTCCGTTTTCAGTGGTTTTGCCGTTAAATATATTTAATAATAATAACCAATACACCATTTGTTATAGCACCTGTAATATGTCAAAGTGCTTTGCAGACCTTACCCTGTCCTCCAGCCCTTTCTCTCTCCCTCACTCGTGACAACCCTTTCTCTCCCTCACCAGTGATAACCCTTTCCCTCCTTCACCAATGACAGCCCGTTCTCTCTCCCTCATCAGTGCCAACCGTTTGAATACACTGGGAAGATACCTCTTTCCTGAACATCCTTGTGGATATTGACCCTACAAAACGAATTATGGATATGTGGACTGACCCCCTGTCCAAAGCCCTAGCATAAACAAGAGAGACAAAAAAAACACAATTGAAAGCAATGATGCTAATGCAACCTCTTCAATGCACAACACTACAAATAGTTTCAGCTTGAGAGAGATGAAGGTAATACTTCTCTCTGATTGAGGGCCACCCATAATCACTCTTTCCATGTCAAGAAAGATGGCATCTTTGCCTGTGTCAAGAAATTGGAAAACAACGGTGCATCTCAAAGAACAGGAGGATAATCAAATGTCCCATTCCAGAGTTTAATGAGACCAGCACAGGAAAATACAAGTCACGGTGCAGTGGGTTGAGTAGTGCTTGAATACTTGGACTTGATCTCCTGCCATACGATGACCCAATGTGCTTTGACAAGTTTACAAAATATCCAAGTGAAAGATGGTTTTCCCTCCCGTCAGCATTGATCAGCACTGAATTCTCAAACCACCAAGGATGCAGCACGGCTAGTGAGTGGGAGGTACAATGGAGAATTTCCATTTGTCATTTCAAGCCTTTTATTCCAGTCACACATTTTGGCAATCATCAAGAGACTTTCCTAGAACAACCACATCATACCAATAGTAGAAGGAAAGGCGGACATATAGATAATAAGTCGAAGTGAACAGAAGATCCAAATTTAAAAAACAGCGCAGAAGAATTGATGAACTAAAGTGCCTTTTAGAAAACAAAAATAAAGTACAATACTCCAAAAGCTAGAGGACTCATGCTGCCAAAGAACGGTCTAAAAGTCAGCGATCAAGAAATTCTTCAAGATTGTATCTGAAATGGAAACTCCTGCCACAGATTTCCCAGATGTCTGGTAAGTTTATATCACATACTATCTTTCCACCAGTACAATTGTTAGTCAAGATCTGTGCATAAATCTAATAAAAGCAGAGTGCCAAAACTTTAAACCCAATAATTTATATATATCATGCAGAGTTACATTAGTCTATGGTGGTACTGAAAATTTTGTTGTAAACAAAAACTCTCTGTCTCTAGTTTCACAAGTATATATGAATAAATAAGCCTGAGTATTGTCTCTTATGTATCTCCTCAGATGATCCATCGTCTTCCAGTTGCAACCATTTCATGAATCGTAATCGCTTTGAAGAGAGCTGTGGCACAACAGGGGACCAACAACCCAGTGAGCGGACTCATAGCAAAAATATCTACCTAGACAGGGGAGGTCACAAACTGTGTCTAAGTGTTGAGAAGACCCATCATTGGTTGCTCCACAGATCCTGACCAAAGGTATCAGAGATATTGAAGAGTACTGACAGACAAGGAGACACATCAACTACTGGAGGCGGATTCCATGTTTCTTACAACACCCTAACATTTCAGATCATTTGCAGTGGATGGGGCATGCCCACAACATCAGCTATATATGTTCATGCCTGTGTGCATTCTGGCATGGTTCACCTACATACTGCACTACTGTATAGCTAGGCTGTGTAGAGTAATACATAGCTGAGCACAGTTTGTGGAGTAGATGTGCTGTTTGGTCAAAATGTTCACCGTCACTAAAGCATATGCAGAGATCTGCACCAGTTACTCCAGGACATAGCCACTCTGTATATAAATGTGATACTTAAGACTGATAGCTCTTCACCTTGCTGTCTGCAAAGTTCAATCTGATTTTGGCACTATTTCACTTGTGGAACCTCATAACGTTATATCATTCATATGTAGGATGCCCAGCCTGGTACCAGTTCAGACAGTAGAATTATGTCCTCAATGTACACGTTCACATGTTCAGGAAGTGTATTATTAAATAAGGCACCACTCCAATGAAATATACAGTGAGAAAAT